CAGCAGTTTCCGCCTCTCACTCCTCCTGGGTGAAGCTGAGGCGCAGTTGTGGGTCAGCTGCGGGGTCAGATGTGGAGTGTTTGTGACTTTACAGAACCGGCCAGGCCTCCTGCAGAGCGGCTCAGCCGTCCCACGTTCTTACCAGCCATGCAGGGCTGTGCCTGTGTCCTTTCCTCCCTGGCCCTTGGCAATGCTGATGTACTTGGTCCAGCCATTCTGGCGGCCGTGGGTGGCTGCTCTCGGGGGTCAACTTGTATTCCCGCCTGGCCGACAACACGGAGCATCTGTTCAGTGCCGAGCTCCGTCTGTGACTCTGTCCCTCTCATGAATCTGGGCTGTTTTCTTCTGTTCCGTGTTGAGGGCTCTTTACAGTTTTGGATGCACATCCTCGTCAGATGTGGGCTCTGCTGACATTCTCCCCCAGCCTGTGGTTATGTTGTCTTACCTTCTTTTTAGAATGGAGGTGTTCCGCTTTGGTGGGGTCCACGGTATCAGTTACTTCTGTTATCCCAAGAATGATTCTTCTGAAAGGTTCTTGTTTGGTGTTGGGTGTGAGATCCACTTTTGTGCCTTCTGTGCTGGTGCGAGGTCCAATGGAGGGCAGCTTTGGTTTGGTTTGCACGTGGTTGGCCAGTTGCTCAGCACCAGTTGTTGAGGGGTCTGTCACTACCACAACTGAGTGACTTGTGCCCCTGGGTGGAAACCCAGCTAAGCACCCCATGGGGTCTACTTGAGGGCCTCTGTTCTGTGCCGTGGAGCCGCGTGTCTGTCCTTGCACCAGCACCGCGTGGCCTTGATTACTATCGCTGCACAGGGAGTCTTAAAACCAGAGTGTGAGTCAGCGCTTTCCCATCAATTTGGGTTTATGTTGTCTATTTCTCTATAATTAAGAACTAGGGCTTCATTTTCCTATTCTGCATCTTCAGGGATGGTATATACTCTGTGGGGCCAGGCTTCCTTCCTCCTCCCCCCCCCGCCCCGGGGTTCTCAGGACCTTTACCAGGGTGGCCGGCACCGATGGCAGCCAGGACAGCGGCTACGATTTCTGCACCCCAGGGGGCTCCTGGGGTGGGGGCTGCCCGTGCTGCCTGTCGTTGGGTCCTCTGGGTCAGTCCCCAAGGATGTCTCATGCATGGGAGGCTGGAACTGGACCAGTCTGGGGCCTCCTGCTGGGCAGGGTCCATGCATTGGCCTGGCACGCTGGGCTGCAGAGGGCCTGTGGGGGGCCAGGGCTCCCGTCCACCTGCATCCCTCATTCTTCCATTTGTCCTTTTTTCTGGTGCTGGAGATTGAACCTGGAGCCTCACGTGGGCTAAGCACATGCTCTACCACAGAGCAACACCCAGGCCCCTCTTTTCCTCCTTTTTAAAGTGTTTCTGTTGTGCTAAGATGCGCAGACTGTCAGGCGGACTGTGACAGTCGTCTTACGTGCACTGCGGCATCGAGCACGTCCTCAGGGCTGTGCAGCCATGGCCCCTCAGTCCATAGCACATCCGTCCCCATTGCACAGACCCCCACCCTGCCCCCACACCCACCTGTCTCCAGGAGTCAGGTGACTCTGGGACCCACACAGGTGCAGTCCCATAGGCTTTGTCCTTTGGTGTCAGCTGATGTCCCTCAGCTCCAGATCCCCAGGGTTCCTTTCCTTCTCCATATGTTGGGTCCCTGTGGTGCCAGTCACTCAGGCTGGGAGCTGTGGGGCCTTGGAGGCTCGATGGGGCCCCTTGATCCCGAGTCAGGAGCCCAGAGGAGCCCCCATGTGTTGGTGCAGCCACAGACCCAGAGGGAGGGTTCGCCCACCCTCCCGGCTGGCGCCCCGTCTGCCCAGATGAGCTGCTGCTCCAGGTCTCTCCCTTGTGACCACTGTGTGGAGGGCACTTGATCGCCTGCCTCTCTGTACACACAGCTGGTGGCCCCTCCTTGCAGTGCAGTCCTGGAGACCACAGTTTGGTCCACAGGCCCTTGATGGTGAAGGCAGCAGCTCCTCTTGGGGACCCCACTAGTCCTGGGGCAACAGGAGGCCATGGGACCTGTCCTGGTGGGACCTGTAGGGTCCCTGCCCTGCTCATGGCCCACCCAGGTCCTCCTGTGGGGTTGCAGGGACAAGCTGCCCGGCTCCCCTCTGAACACATCTCCAGTGCTCCTTTAACACCCTGCGAGCAGTTCAGCTCTCCACGCTCCAGGTGGTGACTGCAGCCCCTCAGGTTGGTGATCGGAGGCCTGGGGAAGGGGTGGGGTGCAGAAGAAGTTCAGACACCTTTGCAGATGAGCTGCAACTCAGTTCAGGGTATTTTTAGCCACGGCAGCATCCGACACTCGGCAAAGCAGAAATAGAAGCGGTTTTTCGGGTGTTCTGGTGCTGACAGGCTCTGGCTCTTGGGGAGCTGGGCTGGGGCTGGGGAGGGGCATGCGAGCTGAGCACAAACAACTTCTGCTGTTGAGAAAAACATCTCGAGGCAGGGGAGTTGTGGATGGGAGCGCTCTATGTAAATGCCACCGCGCAGCTTGGCCGGCTCCTCTGCATGTGTAATCACTGCGGGCTGAGGGGGGCGGGGGGCGGGTAATTATGTTTTAAAATATCACCCAGATTGTTTTCTGTATTCCCTGAGCCCCCAGGGGGTTCCAGGCTGTAAGGATTTTCCGATGCTCCACTGGGTGGAAAGTGCCATCTGACCCTGCTGACCCTCCAGCGGCAGGAGGGACTCTGGGTCTACCCCTGCAGCCGGCCACCTTCCTGGCTTCTGTGCTTACTTGGGGTGTCGTTCACCTTTGGGAGATCTCCCCTTCTCCCTGGAATTCAGCCACAGTCAGACTTAAGGTCTCAGCATGCTCATTCTGAGCTTGGGTGGTAGCCACTCCAGAGGGGTCTGAAGCCATGCAGGAACAGGTGGAGGCCCCGGGGACCTGGGAGTAGCATTGGGTGATTCCAGACCCTGGAGGTGGACGCTAAGCTGCAGGTGGTCTTGACACCCCACCCACTCCCGCCAGACCCTCGGGACTAGAGCCCATCCTGCAGTCTCCTGCAGCTGTTCCCTGTGGTTTTGGGGTGGATGGTGTCACCCTGTTACCCAGGTGTTGGCCCTCAGAGACTGGGTAGCCCTGACTCCTCCCCCTCAGAAGCTTGATGGGACGATGACTTACAGCTAATTCCTACTGGGGTCCCCCGCTACGCACCCTCGTTGAGCCCTCCACAGCTGCCCTGCTGAGGTGTTGTCCTGGGCCCTTAAGGCGGTTGTGATGCGGGGATGCGTGCTGGCTCTGCTGGAGTGACCTGCTCTGATTGTTGGAGCAGCCTCAGGGCGGGTCCAAGTCTGAGCCACCTGCCTTCGCCCCCAGGACTCTCAGGGCCAGCGGGTTCTGGGTGTCTAAGTACCAGATCCTACAAGCCCCTCCTCCACGGGGGCTTCCGGCTCCACTGAGGGTGACAAGGGAACTGCCACCCTCGCTGAGCAAGGACTGTCTCAGTGGCAGGGCCTTTGCCTACCCACGGACCTCCATGGGTCTGGGAGGGATGGGCCTGGGCCTTCACCTGGGCCTTGCTGCCCAGCCAGGCGTGAGGAGCCTGCCCAGAACAGGACCTCTGACCAGGGTCAGGTGGCGTCCTGTGTGAGCAGGTCGCTGTGTGTGTGGCCTGCCAGGTCTCTGAGTCAGGAACACAAGCCTGGTGGCCATGGTGGCCTGTGGGAACACAGGCTAGCTCTACTGGAGCCCTGCTGACCTGCTACTGACCCTGGGGGTCAGGGCAGGGGCCGTGGCAAGGCTCCATGGGACGAGGGGCAGCAGGGACATTCAGGGGTGTGTTGGCAGCACTGGGCAGGATTTTGGGGTGGGTGAGGCTGCACCCTTGGCTTACAGCACTCGGAGTACCCAGCAAACGGTAGGTAGATGCAGGGTCTTGGTCCAGCCCACTGTGAACCCTCGAGGGGACCCTGCGCCCCAGTTGTGGTGTCCTGCAGGAGAACCTGGCAGGCCAAGCTGGTCAGGAGGCCTGGGGAGGGCCTGGACGCCTGTGCTCAGGGCAGAGCTGATGCTTTTGGCTGGCATCCTGCTTTCTGGGGATGGTGTAGGCACATTCAAGGGACCCTGGGGTACCTGGGAGCAGCCTTGGGTGATTCCAGACCCTGAAGGAGGTGGGGATGGAGAGGTGTTCAGAATACAGTAACCTCCTCAGTTTGCCCATGAAGTCCCAAATGTCCTCCTCTGGGCAGTGCAGTGGGCGTACACTGCAGAGCTGTAGGCCCTAGGTGGCCCCGGGGCCCTGGCTGCCCGTCCCGGCAGTGGCCCTGTTAGGAACGTTCCCAGGCAGCAGGAGACTGCAGTTGCCTGCGGTGACACCGCATCTGCCTGACCAGCCCCTTACGCTGACATGGTTTGAGAAGCCATGTCCTCCTCATGTTCGCCAAGTCCCCTGGTCCCCTCACCCATGAAACAGGGCTGCTTGTGCCCCGCTGCCTCTTCCAGGGAGCTGGCTGGGGAGATCCTGGGGTCTGCCGCTGCTTGACACCTGGTTGCAGCTCCAGCCTCTCCCTCCGCCAGCGTTCCTCAGGCAGAGCTGGGCACTCCCCCTGGCTCAGAGGCGTAGGCCCCGCTGCTGCCCCATCTCTAGCCATGGTGCCTCTGGAGGAGCTGTCCTGCCTCCTCTCCCGGCTCAGGCTCCTCTCTGGCCTCCTGCTTAGCACAAGCCCTCATTTCCCCTGGCCTGCGGCCCCTGCAGGGGGACACCCCTTGGGAGCTGCCTCCAGCCCTCAGTGTCCTGGTCCTGGTGGGTGTCCCTCCCTGACTCTGCTCATTCGCTCAGGCTTCCTGCAGGGCAGAGCTGAGCCAGCAGAACCTGCTGCAATCAGCAGCCTGGAGGACGGCTGGAGTGGGTCTGGCTTGGCACCGGCTGGCACAGAGCAGGTCCAATCCCAGCATCAGGGGACGTGGTGGGCGGGTGCAGGGCAGCCTAGCCTAGCCTGGCCAGCAGACACCCACCTGAGCAGGTGATTTCTGTGCTGCAGTGCAAGAGAAGCCAGAGCCGGTGCCACTGGAGAGCCGCTCCTGCGTCCTCATCCGCCGTGACCTTGTGGCGCTGCCCGCCAGCCTCATCAGCCAGATTGGGTACCGCTGCCACCCCAAGCTCTACTCGGAGGGCGACCCTGGGGAGAAGCTGGAGCTGGTGGCAGGTGAGGATGCTCCACCCTGTCTATTGTATGCAAATGTCCTCTCTCCCTTTATTTTTTTCAGAACTATGAACAATGTACTCATCACCAATCAGTCAAAGGAAAAAAAAAGAACATCTTAAATTTCCTCTAATTTCCTTTTAGAAGAATGTGTCATTAAGAGGAGTTATTCAATTGAATTAATTTAGCATTTTAATTGAATCCCCTGGGCTGGCCGCCTTGCTGATTGGCAGGGCTGCATTCGTGGTGTTAATGTAGGTCACAGATTGAACCAAGTCCCATAGTTACCACTGTCCTTCTCATGTGAGTGCCCACTGCCAGCCTGAGAGGGTGGTGACCAGAGGTTCCGGGAGGCAGCTCTCAGTCCAGGCTGGAATTCTGCAGGAACAGGGAACGCAGTGGAGTTGAAAGCCCATGTGGGCTGCAGGCCTCGCCAGAGCCTGGACTTTCCAGCGCTGGGATTCCTCTGGCCTCCCAGCCCCTTGTAGGATTTTAGGGCTACTCAGCAAAGGGATAAAGTCATGGCACTGTCAGTACCTCGGGCCCTTCAGCCATTTTCTGGTCATTTCTTTTCTTGGTTTGCCCATGAAGTCCCAAATGCAGGCTGGATGGGGTCCCGAGGGTGCCCTCCCCCAGCCCCAGCACCAAGCTGTCCCCCTCCCCCAATGTCCTGGTCTGCCTCTGTCTGGCACCCAGTCACTGCCTGTGCTCCGGGTTCTGCCCAGTGGTCCCTTGTTTGGGAACTGCTGCCTGAGGCAGACCTCACCACTGGGCTGCAGGTGGGCAGCTAACAGCTGGGCTGGCCTTGCCTTTCAGCTCACAGGGACTCCTGGCCTTACCAGAGCACTACTTCCTGGCTAATGTGTGGTGGGCAAGGGCTGCTCTGGTGGCTGGGGCACACCACTCCCTGCCCTGCTGTCTCTAATAGCCACAGCTGCTCCAGGGAGAGTGGGTGTCAGGCTGGATGGATCATGAGCACTGGACAGGATCCCAGGAGGCTTCTGGCCTGGTGTGGTCCCAGGAAGAGGTGCCTTCCGCCCTCCGCCCTCCGCCCTCCGCCCTCCGCCCTCCGCCCTCCAGGCAGCCTCTGTTTAAGGTGTGGGGTGCTGGGGCCGGAGAGATGCTCAGGATGGAGTAACCTCCGAGTTGGGCCGGCCCAGGTTCTGACAGGAGGGTCTGTGGCGGGATTGGGGGAAGAATTTGGGGCTCCTGGGTATTGGGCATGTGGACTTCAGGGAGTGGAGCCTTCACAGTTGTTGAGACTGCTGTCCCCAGAACAGATCCCTGGGGAGCTGGGGAGGGTTCCCCCAACTGTGCTGGCACCTTTTCCAGGGCCAGAGTTGGTGCTGAGGGCACCAAGCGAGGTTCCCCAGGTGAAAGCAGGTTCCTCCTGGGCCAGAACTGGACGGCCTTGGCTCCTTCCCCTGGGGCACTCAGTCTGGTCCTCAGTGCCCCATTGCAGATCAGATAGTGGAGACCCAAATAAGAGGACACTGACAGAGCCACGGGACCGGCAAGGGCTGGTGTGCCCTTCAGTGATTTCACCTTGCTTTTTCCTGCACACAATGGGGTGGCCAAGTGATTTGGGTAAGCTGCCCTCACGCATGGCAGTGTCCAGTGTGCACTGGTCAGGCAGGTTCAGTTCTCTGGAGGTCCTTTGCTCACCAGGCCTTGGGGAGATCCTGGGGTGTTACAGCATGGGCCTCCCTGGTCACTCTTATGCCCTGGCTGGATTCTCCTTGATGCACCTGGGGGACATTAGCTGGCCCAGGTGAAGTGCTGTCTATCTCCCCATTTGCTGCCTGGGAAGGGACAGGGCAGAAAGCAAACACAGGGACAGAGCCAGCCCCTCAGAGCACATACCCAGGGAGGTGGTCAGGGCTGTGGTGGCTGCGTCCTGCCTTCAGGCCTCAGCCCACCAGGGAGAGCTGGGAGCTAGGGTGTGTCATCAAGTGGTGTGGACACCGTGACTTTCTCAAGACCTGCTGGGTCCCAGTTGTACATGGTGGCAGGTGGCCTCCATGGAGCATATCTTAGGGACCAGTGGGTGGGAGCTGAGATGGCTCCTAGCAAAGCAGAAGTCCTGGGGTCCTGGGGTCCTGGGGCCCTGCTCACCTGCTCACCTCTTCTGGCTCTTGAAGGTCATGAGCCTTGGGTTTTGCATCATAAGGCCATGGGTCTAACATGTTGATGTCTGCTGACCACAGGCTCCGGGGTCTATATTACACGTGGCCAGCTCATGAACTGCCACCTCTGTGCAGGGGTGAAGCACAAGGTCTTGCTACGGAGACTCCTGGCGACCTTCTTTGACAGGTAAGTGGGAGGCACCAGGGAGAGCTTCAGAAGGTTCTAGAGTCTCCTGTGGCTGTGATCTGTCTGGTTGTCGTGGGTTTCGGCAGTAGAGGTTCTGTGCATTCCTGACTTCTCAACAGAGCCTGTTAGTGCGAGGACAGGGGAGGCTCCAGGAGGGTGACCAGTCGCTTTGGACCAGGGCTTGGTCTAGGGAGGGGCCAGTGTTTCCCAAATGACTTGTGGCCTCCCCAATGAAGTGTGAAGCACTGTACCCATGACCCTATGGGCTAGGAGAGCTCCTGCCCCCGTGCCTAGGCAGCTTGCTCAGGTGACCCCAGGGTCCCTGCAGACGAGGTCAGGGCCAGCGCATCAGCTTCCTGGCCCAGTTGATCAGTCACTCACTGAGTCCTGGGGTCTTTGCTCTCCCTCTCCCTTAGAGGGAGGCTGGGCCTGCACTCCACATGGACCCGACTCCTGTGACAGGCACCCCAGTCCCAGGGGGCCACAGCGAGGGGTGAGGGGGCTCCTCCTCAAGTCCCCTCTGGCCCGCTGTAACCCGTCCCTTCCCCACCCTTCTGCAGGAACACTCTGGCCAACAGCTGCGGCACAGGTATCCGCTCGTCCACCAGTGACCCGAGCCGCAAGCCACTGGACAGCCGGGTCCTGAATGCTGTGAAGTGTGAGTGGACCCTGGGGTTTCTGGGAGGGTCTCTTGGGAGCTTGGAAGCTCCCTTGGGTTCAGATCCCAGCCCCAGAAGGCTGGGTGGGCAGCGGGTCCTCCACCGCACCCGGCTCTCCCTGAGCGCACTTCGGAGAGAAGGAAAAGAGCAGCACGAGAGCCGGCTCGAGGTGTGAGCGTCCTTGGGAGGTTTCCAAGCATGATGAATTCAGCTGCGGAACTATTTTAATATGTGAAATAGATCTAATTTTCCTTTTTGAACAAAACCCCTTATTTACATGTTGAGGTTATTTTGAGCCTTTGCCATCTGTTCGGCCGGCTTCTGCCTCCCGCTCCTGGGTGGCGGGGCGGAGCCCGGTCCTTCTCTGTGGCAGACACCACCCAGCTCCGTGCCCCAGATGGGGAAGGAGCCACTGCACCAGCGCAGGCAGACTGGCCCAGGGCACAGCCTTCCACAGCCAGTGGCCCAGGAAACATCTCACTTTCTCCAAAAAAAAATCCTTCTGAGGCTAATTCTGTTTAGCAGAAGGCCCTGTGTAGCAGGAGCCTTGGCAGCCAGTGGTTATAGTCCCCCCCAAAAAAAGCACAGGGTGACAGCCGGGCCCCAGGAATTTGTGGGGTCGGGGTGTGTCTGATGCTCCCAGCAGAGCTTGTCAGAAGGACCTGCCCTGAGCTTGCTGCTGTTTGGGGGACCTGAGCCTGGCCTTGGTGTGAGGCTCCTGGTGGAGCAAGGAGAGTCTTTCCAAACTGGTGGCGACAGCCGCTGTCCAAGGCTCCTGAGGATGGGGACAGGGAAGGCTCTCGGTGCACTGACTTCTCACTCCGCCAGCCCTGTGAGGAGGGCCCTGCAACAGGTCCCAATTTGCAGGTGGGGAAGACCTGGAGAGCTTGAAGGAGTCCAATCTGGGTGGGCAGTGGGGGCTGTCCCACCCCACCAGGCAGAGACTGTCCCCAAGGATCCCATGGGCCTCCTGGACCGACCAGGGAGAAAATAGACCACTGCTTCCATGGCTGAGATCAAGAGAGTCTCTGGGGCCACTTGGTCCCCAGCCAGCAGGGACTGAGTCAGGGGATGGTCCCTACAAGTCCCTGCCATGGGATTGGCCGCTGGCCCGTGCAGAGTGTCTTATGCCCCTCCCGCCCCTGCCCCTACAGTGTACTGTCAGAACTTCGCGCCCAGCTTCAAGGAGAGCGAGATGAATGTGATCGCGGCGGACATGTGCACCAACGCTCGCCGCGTCCGCAAGCGCTGGCTGCCCAAGATCAAGTCCATGCTGCCGGAGGGCGTGGAGATGTATCGCACCGTCATGGGCGCCTCGGCTGCCACCCTGCCCCTGGACCCCGAGTTCCCGCCCGGCGCTGCACAGGTGTTCGAACAGCGCATCTATGCTGAGCGGCGGAGCGACGCAGCCACCATCGTGGCTCTGAGAACTGATGCTGTGAATGTGGATCTGAGCGCCGCCGCCAACCCTGCCTTCGAAGCCAGCGAGGAGGCTGATGGGGCTGGCTCCGTCATCCAGGAGGTGGCCGCCCCTGAGCCGCTGCCCCCCGATGGCCAGAGCCCCCCACAGCCCTTTGAGCAGGGCAGCACCAGCTCCAGCAGGCCCCAGACGCCAGCAGCCGCAGCCACAAGAAGGCCGGAGGGCACCTATGCAGGGACTTTGTAAGGGCCCGCGTGGCCACTCACAAGGGACCGAGTACTAGAGCTGCTTGCATGCGTTACTAATACAGACAAATGTGATCAAGCCACTTACCTACTGAACTGCTACTGCTGCCTGACAAAAATGTGATTTTTATTCTGCCTGTATTTAAAATGGATGAAGGAAACAAACGCATCGTTATACTGTAAACAGCTAGGCCGCTGGCCACGCTCTGGGAGAAGGGCCCAGGGCTCCTCTGATACCCGCCAGGTCAGTCTCCTATTGTAGCTTTCCCCTCCCGCTTCTTGGGGAGGGGGCCAGAGGCCCAGGCCCCCATGCCCAGCCCTGCCCCTGCCTCGCCCACCTTCCTGCTCCTCCTGCCCCAGAAGGGGAAGTTGGGCAGTAGGTGCCTGTGACAGGTGGGTACACGACACTCCGTTTCTTATCATGGGGACCCCACCAGGGCTCTGGGGCAGCACTGGGCCCCCAGGGGCCAAAATCCCTTTTTTCCTTCTTCCTAAGACACCGCCTGTATGGGTGTGTGCATGTGTGTGCGTGCGTGTGTGAGTGTGTGTGTGTGCAGGGACCAGCGGCGGTGGTGCAGAGGTGGCTTTTAGTCACCTGGGGTGGGGGAAGAGCCCTAATTCCCACCACTACCACCACCACCATGTCCTCCCTCTGCCCACCCTTGGCCCTGTGGCTCCTTGGTTCACCTAAAGCCCCAGGGACTGGCCTGCTGACCCCAGGGCACCACTGGCTTCAGCCTGGCTACCTGCCATCCCATGGGGTAGGGCTGCCACCCTGTGCCCACCATGGGACACACGCGGCTGGTCTTGCCCTCGCTACCCTGACTCCCCAGCCACTCTGGGATTTTTACTTGTTTAGTGTTTCTGTTTAGTTCAGATCTGTTTCATATATTGGAAATTTTCAGACCCAAAAGAGCAAAAAATTGGGGAGGGACGGTGTCGCTAGCCCCAGCCTACTGCTCACTGGGGATGAGTCCATGCCATGTTCCCCCAGCCCGGGCCAGGGTCCTGTCACCTCCTGTTGGAGATGGGGCCCCAGGTAAGTGCAGCCAGAATGTGTGAGACCAAACTCAGGGGTCCTGGGGGCTCTGCTGAGCAGGCACAGCCACCTGGGCAGGGCCAGGGTGGAATGGCCCCTGCTTTGCCCCTCACTCATGCCCTGGGCGACTCTGGGTGTCCAAGGCTCCTGGGTGGGCAGCAAGCTCGTGCCTGAGCTAGGGCAGGTTGCAGGTGTGGATTCCAGGTGGACTGGAGGGTCAAGAGACCACAGGGGCAGATGGGGGCAGTGGAGAGGGCCATGGAGGCTAGCTGGCCTGCTGGAGGCTAGAGTGCTCGATTTGACCTTGAAGTGCTGTTCTCTGTGTGGTGGGGCTCACAGAGCCATTTGCCCAGGAGTCTCTTCCTCTGCCTTGTCCAGGAACTGCCTGCAGACTCAGGCCACTCCCAGTGTGGCCAGGGACTCCCAAGCCCAGACTTAAAGGGTCTGTTGCTCCCTCCGTCCATCCTGAACTCAGCTGCCCCCTCCTGTATGCACTCGTGGGCAGGCTCTCCCAAACTGCAGTACTGGGCACTGGGTCCCACATGGGGAGCTGGGGCTCCTCCTACCAGGCCCCTTGTTTCCATGTGGAGAGGCGTTGGGGAGACCTCACAGGGGGCCCCTCATACACTGGCCCAGCATGCCTCTGCCCTCCATGGAGATCCAGTGACTTTGGAAAGGGAGCAGGAGGACCAGGGTTGGGCACCACGGGATCTGGCCTTGGCCCCTCTACCTGCCCCTTGGGGCCTGAGTCCCAGGGAGACCCAAACCCTGCATTCCTGGGGTGCTGGGTGGCTGCAGGACCACTCCTACCAGCACCTAGAACCTTCAGGCATAGAGGTGGGCTCCCTCTGCCTGTCTCCTCCCACTTGGGCTCTTGTGGGTTGGAGTCCCCAGGGTGTCCTCTGAGAACCTGGACCAAGCCTTCTTGGCACTGGGAGGAGGCCAGGGGGCAGTAGAGGGGATGTTGGGTGAGGTTGAGCTTCGCCCTGGTTTCTCTGAGTTTTTCCTTCATCTGCCGCCCCCACCCCCCGATTTGCACTTTAATTTGACCATCCCTGGGGACCTTTGGGAGGTGGACCCACTTGTCCTGGCTGTTGACAGAAGGGCTCTCTCTCTCTCTCCCTTCCACTCCAAAGTGGGCACGGTCCCCCACCCTGGGCCAGCCCAGGGAGGGTGCCACTGGCCACTAGAGGAGGTGGTGGCCGCACAGAATGCCTGACCACTGCTCGGGCTAGCACAATGTCCTGTGACCTCTGTCCCTTAATTGTTTATAATCGCCGTCTGTTTTGTTCTGGGTAAGGAAGGCAAGAGCTATAGGTAAAACTTAAATAATAATAATTAAATGTGAATGGGTTCTGAGCTCTCCCTGTGCCCCAGGCGGGCCAGGCCGAGCGTTTTGCACTAATGTGTCCACAGGGGACATGGTCGGGAGCGTTTGCAGACGTGCGTGGCCGATGACTGTACCTGCCGGGGGCGCTCCCTCCGCATCCTGAATGTACCGCGGGGCAGGCGGGCGGGCAGTGGGCCTGGGCTCGGAGGGGCCTTCCAGAGTGCCTTAGCATCTTTTGATCATTTTTCCCAAGGAAAACCAATTAAGAAAACCGGACCCTCCCCCCTCCTTTGTTTACAAGATGACTAATTCCAGAATCGGGGGCTGTCTTGTCCTGCGCGCGTGACCCTGACTCATCCAGACCCTGTAGACCAGAGACGAGCCACTCAGTATTTATGAGATGTCTGCACCTTTATTCCCAAGCTTGACTACTAGCAATACGCATATACTATATAGAGTCTATTATAGAGCTAAGTTATATTGGCGCCTTTTCCAGGAGGACAGTCGGGACTGGACCGCATTGGAGCTGCTGAGGCAGGTGGCCAGCCTGGGGGTCCAGCCACCGCTCCGCCCTCCCCTGCCCTTCCAGAGGGGACAACCCTGGAGGCAGCTGGGACAAGTGCAAAAGGTCCAGAGGAAGGGGCCAGAGACAGGACAGATACTGTGAGCTGGGAGGGGCGGTCCGCCTGGCCGGCGCCTTGGTACTTGAATTCTGTCTTGTTTTCTGCACCAGGTCTGCTCACCGAGTTCTCTGTGGTCGCTTCAGTTTGCATCTGATTTGGTGTCTTACTTTTGCCCTGATTGTGGACGCAGCTGTGTGAGAGGCCAGCAGGGAGGGACCCTCCGGGGACCCTGCAATGCATGACTGTTGGGCAGGTAGAGGGGAACCGGCTGTGTGGTCTCATTCTCCCCCCACTGAAAGCCATCCTTCCTGGCTTCCCAGTATCTGTTCAGAGCCAGAGGAGGGCTAAGGAAGGACCTAGGAGGGGCTGGTGGCCAGCTGCTGTACTGGGGCAAGCCTGGTCCTGTTCAACAGCTGGTCTTTTGGCCCAGCCTCCCCGTTGGGTCCTGCTTGGGCCCCCCAGGGGCTCTTCTTATGGAAGTGTCTTTGCCCGAGTGGGAGAAACCTGTTTGCCTCTGTCAGCAGCCAGTCCTACTGGGAAGGGGGCACGTAGAAGCCTCTCAGCTTTAACTACTGTTTGAGAATGATGCTGCCTGTTCCTGTCAGCCAGCCAGCTCCGTGCGGCCACCGCGTGAGCGCGCAGGGCTCGCTACAAGATGTTTCTAAAATGGCAAAGGTGTTTTGCTTTTGTTTGTTTGTTTTGTTGTTTTAAAAAAGAAGGAAAATCATGCAGAATCTAAAGCATTCAGATTGGATGACCTGCTTGTGTTCTGATCAGTTGCCTCCGTTGTTAGGGTTTTGCACACGATTGTGATTTTTATGTCAAAAGAAGCCAAAACTTGCAATACTATTTTTAGCAGACAAAAAAAAAAAAAAAGAACTAAGTATAAAATGTATAAATATTTTTGACTTGAACGTTTGGATGGCACCGGGTGCAAAGAGAACATTCATCCTTTCGACAGAATGTTTGGAGGAAAGACTTGAAGAGGAGACAGTTGTTTGAAAGGATCTGTCTGGGGGTTAAAGTAGTACTGTAACTCACGACTGTTAACTAAGACACTGAGGTCACTCGTTGTGCTGTCCAGGGCTCCACAGAGCCAGAGTCTTGGCCGGGAGAGCCTGCTGTGTCCTTCCTGCCTTCCTCAGCCCTTCCCTGCTGTTCTCCCTAGCGACCAGACTGTTACTTTGTAGCCATGGCTGACAACATTGTATCAATAACTAAACCGACAGCAATGTGCGCAAGCGACCAGGGAACCCCGAGGGCTTCGAGCGAGCGTGCTCAGAGCCGTGTCACACGGCAGAAGTCCACGACAAAACGATGTCATCGTTAACTGTAAAGCGCTTTGTAAAATTCACATTTACAGAATAATAAAGTCAGTTCAAACCCATGTATCTTGGGCTTTGCTTAACTTGTGGGGTTTGAGGGGACTTTGAGAAGTCAGGGAGGGAGCAGGCTGTTGGGACCAGGCGGCCAACCCTCCAAGAAGGTCCTGGTTTCAGGATCCGAGGCTGCTGGAGCCCCTAGAGAGGACAGGAGAGGGCCATCCCCAGGCGAGCAGGGATCCTGCTGGGGTTCAGGGCCGCTTGACCTTACCAATGTCTTATAAGTGAGGGGAGCAGGAGGGGTTGGGTGTCCTGGGGGTTTCTGTGGGGCCCTACTCGGAGCCTACCATGACAGGAGGGAGGGCCTTTGCTGGGTCCTGGTTCTGCTGTCAGCAAAGTGGGGCTCACCTGCCACCCAACCTGTGTATGGTTCCCTCCTGCCCCTCTGCTTCATCCAGGGCTGCCCCCAGGTGGACAGATGGGCCACTGCAGTGGACAGACCTCCTCCCAGATCTGCCTGGGAGCCGCTGGGCCTGGGCTGATCCGTTCTACCACACAAGTGGTTTCCTGGGCTGGATCAGGCCAGGCCGGGCACTTTGCTCAAATGTCCCTCGGAAGCAGATCCTGGAGCCGCTGCTTGAGTCTCACCTCAGGCCCTGGAACACGGCTTCCTGCACTTGATGACCCTTCTTCCCCAGTACCTGTGCAGAGTCTGTGTGTCCTGCAGCCCTTCAAAGGTCTTCTCAGGGGCCGCTCTGCCACCTGAGAGGTGCTTCCTAGCACCTGCTTTGCTGGAGGGAGGTGGGTTTGTTTGCTCAGCTACCTACTGGGGCTCAGTGAGGGCATGTAGATTTGCTCTGTGGCCATGTCCCCAGTGGCTTCCAAGCTCCCCAGCAGCCAGTACAGCTGAGGCCCAGGGAGGATTGTGAGGCAGGTCTTGGCTAGAACCAGGCGTCCTGTGGCTCTGGGATGGCTGCCCAGCCCAGCCTGGCTCCTTCCAGGTGCTGGTCTTCCCTGGGTTTCTAAGAAGGAGGGAGCTACCTGGCATGGTAGTCACACCTATAATCCCAGCAGCTCCAGAGGCTGAGGCAGAAGGATCCCAAGTTCAAAGCCAGCCTCAGCAACTTAGCGGGGCTCTAAGCAACTCAATGCGACCTTGTTTCTAAATTAAATGCAAAAAGGGCTGGGGATGTGGCTCAGTGGTTAAGCACCCTTGGGTTCAATCCCTGGTACCAAGAGAAGTGGGTAGCTGGGCAGCTGCTGGGCAGTTGCTGCTAGGCTTCTGCCCCCAGCCTCCACCCTGCTCCTGGCCTGTGCCCTGGGAGCCTCTGACAGAAACTGGCTGAGCATTGGGAGGCTCCATTTCACAGCAGCAGCTCCTGGGGTTGAGCCCCAGCTGCCCTCCCGAACCCTTTGTCCTGCCTACAGGGAGAGGAGTGCCACGTCAGCAGGACACACTGGCTTTGTCCCCAGCCCTTTGTGCTCCAGCACAAATGGTCAGGAGCCCGTGGGGGGAGAGGAGCCCTGTGCAAGGGTGAGCAAAGAGTGCCTGGGACTGTGCTGACCACCTCGTGCAGCTCCTCGGATTTCCAGGAAAGGCAGCTGCTTCCCTGGCAGGTGCAGCGGTGGCTGGCCTGCCAGCTGGGTGGAGCAAATGCATGCTGTGCTGGGAGGCAGAGCTTGACCGGTGGCCCAGGGCCACTCAGGTGTGTGGCTCTATCCTGTCTGCCAGGTAAGGACAGAACCCACCTGGGGATGAGCCAGCCATGTTTCCATGTGGTTTCCTTGTGATCGGAAGGTTCCCAAATGTGTCCCCCTCAGCAGCAGGCCTGGCCCTGGGAGCTCCAGGCTGCTCCGCCCTGGCACCCACACTGACCACACTTTCGTCCAGCCCGCATCCCCCCCACCTCCCTCAGCCTGCCTCCTGCAGTGCAAGCAGTGCTCGTAAGCCCCTCTCTAGGAAGCAGCCACAGACCCCAACTGGGAAGGGAGGTTGCAAGGCATGGCCAAGAGGCCCTGTCTCTGGGCCTCTGACCTGAGGCCTCCCTCCCTTCCTCCACCTTGGAGACCTGAGTGACAGAGGCTCAGCTGCGTATGCAGCTTTCTCCGCAGACTGGGATCCCTGTGCCTTGATGGTCTCATTTTTCATCAGTAGATCAGGCCCTCCCCTGGAGGCCCCTGTGACTCCCACTGACGGGGCTGAGGGGCTGGACCTCCCTTGAGTTCAAGTCTGACTTGGTGCCTATGAGCTGGTGAGAGGGACAGGCGTCTCTCCACATGATTCCTGGCCCAGGGTGGCTCAGGGACTGGGACCCCAGCCTGGGATTGGTATGTCCCTCTGGCAATACCCAACACTTCAGGGGCTTCACATCCATTCCTCTTACTGGCCAAACCAGCATGTGAAAGGCCACACCCCACCCTCACTACATGGGACTTCCCCCGTCCTCCCGCAAGACAGGAAGAACAAATGTCCTTGGGGAAACAGGGCACACAGAAGAGGCTCTTGGAGAATGGGGGCAGTGGCGGTGACATGAGCCAGTGCATCAGTCAGTCCAACCTCGGACACCCAGAAGACAGGTACCCAGAAGGCAGCTGTCCCAGGCATCTAGAGCAGGAGCAGACAACCAGCACCCCCAGTCCGCTCCCTGAGCAGCCCCCGCACGAGGTGGCCAGGTGCCGGCAGGGAGGGTCCTTGCCAGGGCTCTTCAGACAAACTGGCTCTGACCAGGCAGGTGGAGTTTTGCAGGATCAGGATCCCTTGAAAGCAGCTCAGGTGTGGCCCAGAAGAGCCAGAATGACAACGGCCAAGGGTGGCCCAGCCCCTGTGACCAGGGATGGCGGATAAGCAGTGTGTGGCCCAGCCACCATGGGATTGGCCTCGAGCACCTGCTGCAGGGTGGCTGGGCCTCGAGGACATCATCACAGAGGACAGGTACCGAGAGATCCACCAGGCCACAGAGACAGGAAGTGGAATGGAGGGTGCCGGGGCTGGGGAGGGGCTGGCAGTCAGTTTATGGGGACAGAGTTTCAGTTGTGGGGATGAGAGCACCTAATGCTGCTGAACTTGAAGATGGTTAATACTGAACACGTTATGCCGTGAATATTTGAGCAAAAACACGCAGCCACGAGTTGCTGAAAGATGGGGTGTGTTCTGAGAACGCATCGCTGGCTGGTTCTGCCTGGTGGGAGCTCCAGAGTGCACTCAGCCCAGGCGACCTCCCCGTCACCAGGTGGTGCCATCTCATGGGGCCACAGGGCACAGGCATGTGGGCTAAGATGTGACTGCAGCATGACCACGTGGACACACCTGTAAAGACGGGGAGAGGGTGGACACCAACGCAGACCTGCTGCTGGAGTGGGCCAGGCCTCAGGCCCCAGGTGCCGTGGGCCAGCGTCCAGCCTCCAGCCTCGAGGTCTGTCCTGGGAGTGAGCCAAGCTCCTCTGGCCTCAGAGAGGGGCTCCCCCAGCATGTTCTGTGCTTCCCAGCAGTCCTCTGGCTTCACCCAGGGTCTGCACAAAGAAGGACTCAACAGCCCAGGCCACCCCACACCAGGGCAGGGAGTGTCTGTCCAAGTTGGCCTGGTCCATTGGCCCGGAATGCCAGTTAGGAAGTAGAAGGAGCTCCCTGCTGGGGAGCAAGGGGCAGATGACCAGGCCTCCAGAGCCCCTGCCCGGAGGCCTGTGTGTTGTGGGCACCCCCAAGCAGCCTGGGCGTGGAGCACACTGACCTTATGCCCCTGGGCGGTGAGCCCCACATCCCCCCCAGTGCAGGCCCATGTCCTGTCTCCTGCTGTCCTGTCTGGCTGACACCCTTGGCATCCTGCCCCTCCCCCATGGGGCTTCACAGGTGCCCCCTCCCTCAGGCTTTGCTCACCAAGAAGTCCAGTGCAGTGGGGGCATGCCCCAACACCAGAGCGTGCATCTCCATGCCCCATTCTCCCCAAGTTCAGCAAGTTGTGGACAGTACCCCTCATCTCCACCCTACTGTGTCCAAGTCGTGGACAGTATCCCTCATCTGCACCCCTACTGTGGACAGTACCCCTCATCTGTACCCCTACTGTGGATAGTACCCCTTATCTATACCCCTACTGTGGACAGTACCCCTCTACTGCACCCCTACTATGGACAGTACCCTTCATCTGCACCCCTACTGTTGACAGGCTCCTGCCCATCTTGCTAAAATGCAGGTCTGGTTCTAGATGTGGCAAAGGACTTGTCTCTGAAGTGGGTGCCAGAGGACACAGAGCTGGCCTGGGGGGTCACACTTTGCACACCACTGTAAGGGCTGTCCCTCTGTCCCAGAGAGGATGACCCACATCCCCTGGTGCCTGGGCCTGTCTTTTTCCTTGCAAAGTGTAGGCTGTGGATAGCATCCCACACAAAGCGCATGTTCGCAGGTTCCTGGGCACCGGTGCCAGCCCCTCTGTGAGCCGTCTGTTTCTGGCCACATGCCATCACGTCCACACTGTTGGCTCCTGAGCCCTGGGCTTCCACTCGTGTGACCACCCATCTCTGCTTAGTTCTTTCTGCTGGGCTCCTAGGAGCTCCTGGGGGAAGGCTCTCCCTACCCCCTGGAGTGGTTTCCACAGCCACCAGGCAGCCCAGGCTGTGCCTGTGGGGCAGAGGCCCAATGGCAGTGTCCCTGATCAGAGTACCTGCTGGCTCTGACTGGGGGGCACAGGCTCCTGGAGCTGGAGGGACGCCCCAAGGACCACCCCTGTCCAGTCCCACAGAGCTCTGCCCGGTATCCTGAGGACTTCCCGCTCTCCTGCTGAGCCCAGCTCTGGCCCCAGGAGTGCTGCAGGCAGGGTCCAGGGCTGGGGTGAGTGCAGGATTGCCTGGCGGGGCCCCCCCTTCCCACCTAGAGCAGTGGTGAGTGGCAAGCCCCCGTCAGCTTCAGCCCTGGTGGGCCCAGGCCAGGGAGCTAGACCAGGGGGCAGTAGCAAAGAATAATGCAGGACCCCTCCTGGAGGAACCTGGGGAGACCAAGGAGGGCCCTTGGGCTTGTGAAGTGGCCAAAGGGGTGCTAGTCCTGAGCAAAGGTGTCGGGGGACCTTGCTCTCTGCATG